TTTAAAAAATATAGAGAAAAAAAGAGTGCTGGCGTCCTCACTTAAGAGGCTCATTAAGTCTTAAACTCATTAAAGAGTCCTAACATGTCACCACATATACAGCCACGGACGTTCACAACTGTATCAGCAACACCTAGACACCAGCGACAGCCGTTTCACAACGAGTATTTCATTGCGAATTCAAATTTGAACATCACATAAAGTAATGATCCAGCAGCAGGTTCACCTACAGCTACCTTGTTACGACTTTTGCCCGGTTCAAGCCACTGCGATTAAATTGGTTTCCATCAAAGTAATTTAGAAAAATTAAATCAACGGTCCCCAAATTTCTCGAAATGGCTCAGTCCCGGGCAGCGACGGGCGGTGTGTACAAAGGGCAGGGACGTAATCAACGCGAGCTGATGACTCGCACTTACTTGGAATTCCTCGTTCACGGAAAATAATTGCAATTTCCGATCCCAATCACGGCAAATTTTCAATGGTTTACCCGCCCCTTTCGGGGTAGGACAAGCACGTTGATTTTGCCAGTGTAGCGCGCGTGCAGCCCCGGACATCTAAGGGCATCACAGACCTGTTATTGCTCAATTTCTTTCGGCTGAACACCGCAAATCCCTCTAAGAAGCTGTATACACTAAGAGTATGTACCAGCTATTTAGTAGGTTAGAGTCTCGCTCGTTATCGGAATAAACCAGACAAATCACTCCACGAACTAAGAACGGCCATGCACCACCATCCACTGAATCATGAAAAAGCTATCAATCTGTCAATCCTCACAGTGTCCGGGCCGGGTGAGTTTCCCCGTGTTGAGTCAAATTAAGCCGCAGGCTCCACTCCTGGTGGTGCCCTTCCGTCAATTCCTTTAAGTTTCAGCTTTGCAACCATACTTCCCCCGGAACCGGAAGACTTTCGTTTCCGGGAAGCTCCCCACCAAGGCAATATAATTTCCATCGGCGGATCGCTAGTTGGCATCGTTTACGGTCAGAACTAGGGCGGTATCTGATCGCCTTCGAACCTCTGACTTTCGTTCTTGATTAATGAAGACATTCTTGGCAAATGCTTTCGCTGTAGTTTGTCTGGCCACGGTCCAAGAATTTCACCTCTCACGGGGCCATACAAATGCCCCCGTTTGTCTCTGTTAACCATTATCTCAGTCCGTAAAACCAATAAAACTGAACCGAAATCGTTTTCTATTATTCCATGCACGATCATTCAAGCGAAAACGCCTGTTTGAAGCACTCTGATTTGTTCAAAGTAAACTTGCAATGCCTGTTAAGAATCCTGTTAAGGACTCAAAACCGAACATTACGATAAATCGATAACACCCAGAAACACCCGGAGGGTTCCAGGGTACCGATACGAATCCAACTACGAGCTTTTTAACCGCAGCAATAATTCTATGTATTAGCAGAGCTGGAATTACCGCGGCTGCTGGCACCAGACTTGCCCTCTGCTTGATACTCGTTAAAGGGTTTAAATTGTACCCATTCCGATGACCGGCCTCAAAGAGAACGATCTCGTTATTTCTCGTCACTACCTCCTCGAGCCGAGAGTGGGTAATTTGCGCGCCTGCTGCCATCCTTAGACGTAGTGGCCATTTCTCAGGCCCCTTCTCCGGAGTCGAACCCTGATCCTCCGTTATCCGTCACCACCACGGGAGTCGATTATGCTCCCGTCAAGTTGATAAATTGGACGCTTGAAAGACACGCCGCCGGCACAAGGCCATGCGGTCAGCTTAGTTATTCTGAGTCAACAAGAAGCAGCCGAAGCCGCGTGGTTTTGTTCTAATAAATGCGCTTTTCCGAGAGGACAAAGCTTTGGTGCATGTATTAGCTCTAGCTTTTCCACAGTTATCCATTTAGATAATCAAGATCAAGTAAATCATGGCCATTGTAATGAGCCGTTCGCGGTTTCTCGCTAAAACGATTAAACTTATACATGCATGGCTTAATCTTTGAAATGAACACATCAGTTCAGGCAGGATCAACCAGATATCTCGTAAATTCAGGTAAGATTCACTACCGAATTCCGAAGAAATCAAATCTTACCCAAAAAAGCGATAGCTCATAAATACGTACTCGAACATCGTCGGCGCCAGAAGGACACACGAGGCGAGACAGATTTGGTCTCACAACCAATCTCGGGTCACTTGCTGACTTTACGAGCACTCAAAAGTTTGCTTCGAACTGACCGAATGCTCATCTTGCCAATTCAGCAATGAATTGGCATAAAATTCATATCCTTCAACGAGGACGCTTCGTCTCAACACAAAATCTCAACTTTTCACTTCACCAACACAGCCAAAAGGCTACATTATTATCAAATTTTTTTCTCTTTTCATCGAGATTAAAGCGAATTTCTTATTTTCAGCAGAGAATTTATTCTCAGATGAATTCATGCTTGTCCTTCGTGATTTAAACCAAAAACCGCTATAATCTCGGCGAGAACTCTCGAACCTTCGGCCACACTCAAAAATTAATAGATCCCTAGCCAATTTAAATGAACAGAAATCGATTTAAAACGGTTAAAAATCAAAGTAGCACATTTGAGTCTTCAGAAAGTACCATAATCAAGTTGATTTGATGCTAAGAATTTAAGTAAAAGGGCATCAAGAAACACGGAAGGACTTAATATCTGCTAAGTCGAGAATTATTTATTTCCTATACATTTTTCCTTTCCATTTCCTGTGCAAACAACCACTTTATTTTGCAATTCGCAAACACACAGCCACTTAATTTTACTCAACAGACAACCACTTTTCCAATATAATATGAGTCGTGGCGAAAAGAGAAATGGACAAAATGCAACCCCAAGCTATGCGCCACCAAGAGAAAAATAAATGTAAAGAGAATTAAAGCAAGAAAGAAGGCAAAAAGTGGTAGCAACATTAAATTCACAGCAACATTAAACACAGCAACATTAAATTTGAATTTTTGAATTAATTTGAATTTTTGGATCTATGTTGTAATCATTATGATATTCTTAATAGATTTAAGTAGTTAGTCATACGTATTTATTCCATTTTTTACCGCACTTTCCTAAAGGTTTAGGCTTGTCTGGGTGCCCCGCCCCTTTTACTTACACTCAATAATTTAGATACAAGTAGTAACTTTAAAATTTTCAAATATTAAAAATTTTATAATATTAAGAATTTTATAATATTTATATAATATTAAAAATTTAATAATATTAAAAATTTTTTGAATTAAAATTTTTAGAAAATTAAAAAATTTTTCTATACAGATTTCTTAAAAAACATTTTCTATAAAAAATTTTTATATTTTTATAAAAAAATTTTTATAAAAAAAATTTATTTATAATTTTTTTATTATAAAATTTATTTATACATAAAATTTTTTTAATTAAAAATTTGATTAAATATTATTTCTATAAAAAATTTTTTTCTATATAAAATTTTTTTCTAAATTTGAGATGTAAATGATATACGATACAAAGTTAACCTACCTTCTTTTGATATTACAAAATGTGGGTATCACTATAAAAACGTCAAAGAAGAAGAACATGAGGAGAGTGAATTTTAAAGAATTTTTTGAAATTAATTCTTTTTTTTTTGAATTTATTTTTTTAATTATTTTTTCTCTTAATTATTAAAAAATCCTAATTAATAAAATAATTTCTTTTCTAACACCACCAACAATTCTTTTTTTTTAATTTTAAAAATATTTTTTCTTTAATTAAATTAATATTTTTTTAAATTTAAACCAACAATTTTTCAATTATTAAAAAAAAATTTTCACTTAATTTAAAAAAATCCTTTTTAATATAATAAAATTATTTTTTTCTAATACCACCACCTATTCTTTTTTTTAATTAAAAAAAATTTTTTTCTTTATTAAAATCTTATTTTTTTAATTTTAAACCAACAATTTTTCAATTATTAAAAAAAATTTTTCACTTAATTAAAAAAATCCTTTTTAATAAAATTATTTTTTTCTAATACCACCACCTATTCTTTTTTTAATTTTAAAAATATTTTTTCTTTAATTAAAATAATATTTTTTAAATTTTAAACCAACAATTTTTCAATTACTAAAAAAATTTTTTTACTATTTTGAAAAAAAACTTTTTGAAGAAATTATAAAAAATTTCCGATTATTTCGAAAAAAAAATTTTTTTACCATACTGAAAAAAAATCTAATGTATTCGAATTCGTATTCGAATCTAGTAATCGTATTCGAATCTGTATTCGAATCTAGTAATGTATTCGAATTCGATATAAAAGTTCTACGAACTAAATAAGTGGATAATGTCATTTGTGTGCAAATAATAAAAATCTAAATTTTGTTTTTGTTTAGACGCGTCAAAATTATTAGTGCCATATTTATTCTAGTAATGTATTCGAATTCGATATAAAAGTTCTACGAACTAAATAAGTGGATAATGTCAATTGTGTGCAAATAATAAAAATCTAAATTTTGTTTTCGTTTATACGTGGCAAAATTATTAGTGCCATATTTATTCTAGTAATGTATTCGAATTCGATAAAAAAGTTCTACGAACTAAATAAGTGGATAATGTCAATTGTGTGCAAATAATAAAAATCTAAATTTTGTTTTCGTTTATACGCGTCAAAATTATTAGTGCCATATTTATTCTAGTAATGTATTCGAATTCGATAAAAAAGTTCTACGAACTAAATAAGTGATAATGTCAATTGTGTGCAAATAATAAAAATCTAAATTTTGTTTTCGTTTATACGCGGCAAAATTATTAGTGCCATATTTATTCTAGTAATGTATTCGAATTCGATAAAAAAGTTCTACGAACTAAATAAGTGGATAATGTCAATTGTGTGCAAATAATAAAAATCTAAATTTTGTTTTCGTTTATACGCGTCAAAATTATTAGTGCCATATTTATTCTAGTAATGTATTCGAATTCGATAAAAAAGTTCTACGAACTAAATAAGTGGATAATGTCAATTGTGTGCAAATAATAAAAATCTAAATTTTGTTTTCGTTTATACGCGTCAAAATTATTAG